TTAGGTCATATCTGAATGGTCTAGTGGTTTCCTCTACTTTCTTCAATTTAGTCTGAATTTGGCAATAAGGAGTTCATAATCTGAGCCACAGTCAGCTCCCAGTCTTTTTTTTGCTGACTGTATAGAGCTTCTCCATCTTTAACTGCAAAGAATATAATCAATCTGATTTCGGTGTTGACCATCTGGTGATGTCCATGTGTAGAGTCTTCTCTTGTGTTGTTGGAAGAGGGTGTTTTCTATGACCAGTGTGTTTTCTTGGCAAAACTCTGTTATCCTTTGCCCTGCTTCATTCTGTACTCCAAGGCCAAATTTGCCTGTTAGTCCAGGTATTTGACTCCCTACTTTTGCATTCCAGTCCCCTATAATGAAAAGGACAGCTTTTTTGGGTGTTAGTTCTAGAAGGTCTTGTATGTCTTCATAGAATCATTCAACTTCAGCTTCTTCAGCATTACTGGTCAGGACATAGACTTGAATTACTGTGATATTGAATGGTTTGCCTTGGAAACAGAGATCATTCTGTCATTTTTGAGATTGCATCCAAGTACTGCATTTCAGACTCTTTTGTTGACTATGATGGCTACATTTCTTCTAAGGGAGCCTTGCCCACAGTAGTAGATATAATGGTCATCTGAGTTAAATTCACCCATTCCACTCCATTTTAGTTCACTGATTTCTAAAATACCGATGTTCACTCTTGCCATCTTCTGTTTGACCGCTTCCAATTTGCCTTGATTCATGGACCTAACATTCCAGGTTCTTATGCAATATTGCTCTTTACAGCGTCGGACTTTACTTCCATCACTAGTCACATCCACAACTGGATGTTGTTTTTGCTTTGGCTCTGTCTCTTCATTCTTTCTGGAGTTATTTCTCCACTCATCTCCAATAGTATATTGGGTACCTATCGACCTGGGGAATTCATCTTTCAGTGTCCTATCTTTTTGCCTTTTCTAGTCAAGGCTATGGTTTTTCTAGTGGTCTGTATGGATTTGAGAGTTGAACTATAAAGAAGGCTGAATGCTGAAGAATTGATGCTGTTGAACTGTGGTTTTGGAGAAGATTCTTGAGAGTCCTTTGGACTGCAAGGAGATCCAACCAGTCCATCCTAAAGGAGATCAGTCCTGGGTGTTCATTGGAGGGACTGATGTTGAAGCTGAAACTCCAATACTTTGGCCACCTGATGAGAAGAGCTGACTCATTTGAAAAACCCTGATGCTGGGAAAGATTGAGGGCAGGAGGAGAAGGGGATGACAGAGGACGAGGTGGCTGGGTGGCATCACCGACTCAATGGACATGGGTTTGGGTGGACTCCGGGAGGTGGTGATAGACAGGGAGGCCTGGCGTGCTGCGATTCATGGGGTTGCAAAGAGTCGGACACAACTGAGCGACTGAACTGAACTGTTCATGGGGTTCTCAAGGCAAGAATACTGAAGTGGTTTGCCATTCCCTTCTCCAGTGGACCACATTTTGTCAGAACTCTCCACCATGACCCATGCATCTTGGGTGGCGCTACATGGCATGGCTCATAGTTTCACTGAGTTAGACAAGGTTGTGGTCCATGTGATCAGATTGGTTAGTTTCCCGTGATTGTGGTTTTCAGTCTATCTGCCCTCTGATGAAGAAGGGTAAGAGGCTTATGGAAGCTTCCTGATGGGAGAGACTGACTGAGTCAAGCACCATGTCTCTGTACTTGATTTGAAATGAGTTAGGAACACATATACATGCACACATGTACTCACACACAGGGACACACATCTCACATGCAGCAGCTCCTTCTGTATCATCACTTACTTCTGCTTTTTGTGTCATTGTATGTGTTTCTCCCACATTTGTGAGGTATTTAGGAGCAAAACCATGCCTCACTCATTCCATAAAGAATTCACAAAATGTTTGCTGAATGATGGATGGATGGATGGATGGGTGGGTAGATGTATGGATAAATGTGTGGATGAGTGTTTGGATGGATGAAGAGATGGATGGAAGGAAGGATGGATGGGTGAATGGATGTATGGATAGATGTGAGTGGGTGGGTGGATGAACGGATGGGTGGGTGTGTGGATGAATAGTTACCAGGAGGATGGAAGCAGCCTGGCACCTATCCCAGGAAGGCAGGTAAGGGGTTTCCTATGAGGTGAAGCCCAGGAGTATTTGCAAGTCCCTGCCCTTTGGAAGTGAGATGTTTCTTCTTAGCTCAGGCCCCCTTGTCCAGCTCTGAGGCTGGTCAATATGAGACTGTGGGGATCAGTGTCCTGCACTGGACCCAGAGTCTGCCTAATCTTAAAAATCAGAATGGGGATGACTATAACTTGAGGGTAGAAGGATAAGCTGCTGGTTCCCAAAGACCTCCTCAGAGCTTTTGGAAGTCTAAAGCCATACCACCAACATGCATTTCTGGGGCATCATTGAACTGGAGTGTATTTAGCGGGAGTGGTAAGAAATGCTAAAAGGTGAGTGGGAAGGTAGACCTGGGGAGAAAATCAAAGTTCTGCAGGGACCAAAAAGGACCAGAGTAGGCAAGAGACTGTGTGCTAGGTGGTGTGCAGAGCATATTTCAGGAGATTGGGGTCTAAAAGGCAAAACCCAAATGGAGACTCTGGTCTATGAGCTGCCAGTCCAGAAGGAGCCCTCTCCTGAGGGACTAAAAAGCATTGCCCAAGGCAGGGATGCACGCATTTTGGGGCAGAAAGGATTGTTTAACAGAATGAGAACCTTGGAAGGTATGCTATGCCACCAGCTAACTGCCTATTCTCCAGTCCCCCCCACCGCCAACCCCAAGCCTAAGGTCCCTAGCATGGAATCCATTACTCCAAGGAAAACAAAGCCTGCAGGGGCTGGTGAAAGCAGAAAGGGCCACTGCTATGTGGAAGTCAGACCATCCAGCAGGTGATAAGAAATCTGGGCTGGACCACCCAGTCCAGACAGTCAAGAAAGTCAAATATTAGCAGTGTCATATGGTTCCATCTACATACATATTGATATATGACTGTGTAATAAAAACAAGCTATATTTTATACAATTATGCCATTTTTGCCATGGACTTCCCAGATGGCTCAGTAGTAGAGTCCACCTGGCAATGCAGGAGACGCAGGCAGCTCAGGTTTGATCCCTGGGTCGGGAAGATCCCCTGGAGGAGGAAATGGCAACCCACTCCAATATTCTTGCCTGGAAAATCCCATGGACAGAAGAGCCTGGTGGGCTACAGTCCATAGGGTCACAAAGAGTCGGACATGCCTGAGCATGAGCACAAGACTGCCATTTTTGTTTTAAAATATAAGATATATTTTGGGAAGATACATCCTTTTTAGAGGTAATTACGTTAAGCCATTGACAGTGGTTTTTCCTGGAAGGGGAATTGGGATAGGGAGCAGAGAGAGATGGGCTTTTGCATATCCAGAGATCGCTTTTGTTATTTATTTTACTGTTCACAGGATTGTCCATGGGCCTGAAATCAGTTCCACCCCTTTCCCACAGTGATGACTACCTGCAAAGATCAGCCACCAAGCTCAGTGACAGAGGGGCATGGAGGAGCTGATGGAAGGATGCCAGGAATACCTGTAACTGGCCACCCAGGAGGTGTACGGAGGTGCCCCGATCTGGAGACATGATACTCCTGGGTCCTTTTTAGGGCCCTTTCTCTTCTGCCCAGGTGGCTCAGGGTGAAGATATAAAGTTTCAGCCCTCTTTCCCATCTTCCTCTAGTGGGCACAGGGGCTGGCCACCCCCACTGCCAAAGCCCTTGCAGTGTGAGACAATGCAAGAACTGGCTCCCCCAGAGGCTGGGTCCTGTTCCCTCCCAGGAAGTCAGAGATGGCAGGCTGACTCTGCTGAAGGGTCGCTCTCAGGGGAATCTTTCTTCCCAGCAGGGCTCTGCTCCCACTCTTGAGGGCCAGTGCACTTGTGGGGAACTCACCAAGCCTGCCAGTCCTCTGCAAAGTCATAAGTCAGTGAATTAAACCACGTTTATAGAGAGGGAGGTGGGAGGGGGGATCGGAATGGGGAATACATGTAAAACCATAAAAAAAAAACCAAAACACCACGTTTATCCCATCCCCTCTCACACCTGGGTTCAGGTGCTTTCTGGTTCCCTGCAGGTAGAGGTGAAGTCCCTGCCTCTCCAGCCCACTCTTCCAGATCTGGCTTAAGAGTCCCCTTGCAGATAGTTAAGGACTTTGAGAAAGTCATGTACATACTGCTATATTTAAAATGGATAACCAACAAAAACCTATTGTACAGCACAAGGAACTCTGCTCAATGTGCCAGTTATGTGCCAGTCTGGATGGTAGGGAGGTTTGGGGGTGAATGGATACATGTATATGTATGACTGAGTCCCTTCACTGTCCATCTGAAACTATCACAATATTGTTAATCGGCTATACCCCAATACAAAATATTTTAGGTATTAAAATAAAAATAATATTTAAAAAAAAAAGAGTCCCCTTGCAGCCTCCCTGATGCTGTTCTCAGCCACCCTACCTATTATCTGTCTCTCTCTGGTCCCAGAAGACCCTGGCCAGCCCTCAGGAAGGGCATTCACCACCCTGAATTGAAACCCATTGTTTATACCTGTCCAGAGAACATTTCTTTTCTTGAGATTCACTTTGGCAAGGTGCTGTCAGCCTGCCTGGAGATATCTTAACAGGGTTGGCCCTTGAGAAGCCCTCCTGAATTTACTTTTTTTTTTTTTTTTACCAATAGCATTTCCTCATTTGATATCCCCTTCCTGGTATCCCATCAGTGCTTCTTCTCAGAAATGGTCATGTTCTTAACTTGAGGACATTATTATTCTTGTCACTGCTTATATTTTATTTTTTATCATCTGCCAGAAAGCCCAGAATACATTTGGTAGCTTTTTATAGCAAATAGATGGGAACTTTTTATGAAACTTTTTCTAGCTGCATCGTATTTACCTTAATTTTCCTTCATCTTGGTTTCTCATTTCAATTTTGATTCTTCTGTATTACAAGTATCTCTGTAAGCTATCTCAAAAGGCTCTTGTTTACCTTTTGAATGAGGCAGGAGATAGATGAGAGAGAAGTTGACAGATGCATCCATATGTACATGCCAGTACCCCACTGTGCCATGGCCTCTCTCTGTACCCCCTCAGCACTAAATCCCTGGCCCCCAAAACAGAGTAGGGGCTCATAGTATACTTAATTAAGAGTTTTTAAATAGTAGTTCATCAGTTTAATCTGTACAATAATGCTGCAAGGTAAGCGATGTAGTTCCACCTGACAGTTGGAGAAGCTGAGGCTTCAGGTGCCATCCTTGGTAAGTGGCCGCGTCAGGATTTGAACCCATGCTTGTTTGGCTCTGTTTGTTTATTACATTTCACCTCTCTCCCAAGTTTGACATGCTCTGCTCTCTAGACCTGTGAGGTCCACAATGGTAGCCATTAGCCACATGTGGTGCAGTGGTAAAGAATCTATCTGCCAATGGAGGAGATGCAAGAGACACGGGTTCTATCCCTAGGGTGAGAAGATCCCCTAGTGTAGGAAATGGCAACCCACTCCAGTCTTCTTGCCTGGAGAATCTCATGGACAGAGGAGCCTGGCAGGCTACAGTGCATGGGGTTGCAAAGAGTCAGACACTTTGAACACAGCACAGCACACAGCCACATGTGGCCATTGAAATTTAAATTAGTCTTAGTTAAAATTAAAAATTCCCCAGGCATGCTGGCTGCACTTTCAGGGCCCTGTAGCCCTGTGTGGCCAGTGGCTACTGTGTTAGTATGGAAGAGAACACCATTCTCAGCACAGAAAGAGCATTTCCTGCAGCCTCCTTACACCTGCACTAGGGTCCTGCCAGGAGCCAGCAGTGCCCACGCTGGACTTGTACTTTCTTTCCTCTGCATCTTCAGGACATTCTTTCCTCAGCCTGGGCATCCTAGCCCTCCAGCATCATCATCAAACCATCCTTGCCGTCACAGCCTGCTTCAGTCCCTCCCCATTCCCCACCCGTCCTGGGCCCCAGACATCTCCACCTCTGACTTCCTGATGCCTGAGGTCTGTGCCTCCAGGTGGGTGACTTTTCTTTGGCACAGCCTCACCTCACCCACCCAACAGTATAGAAAGGAGACACATGCTGCTTGATTAATTGAGGGGGAAGACAAGAGAGCGTAACATGAAAATCGACTATAAAACATGACTTTGTTCCAACCTCTATTCGTCACTCATGACTCCACTCCTCCATCCAGCTCTCTGCTCAGGGCCTCCTCTCCTCCAGGGGCAAGAGAAACTGTGAGCAGGTCCCACCTGTGCCCTCAAGGTGGTCATATCCAGTGGCTTTGGGTGAAGGATTTACCCTTCATCTCAATGTCCTCTGTTGTGAAAAATGTCCTATAATTCCTGCTGTTCTTCCCTGGAGGGCTTGTCACCGGGACTGAGAATGTAGAAGCGAGGGCCTTCATATGACATGAAAAGCTCTCAATTATAAGAAAGTAGCTGGGAAATTGGGAAATGTGCACCCCTGCTGTGTCACCCTTACATAGAGCTGTAACTCCCACCCCCACTGTAAGCCGTTTTGAAGTGGGGGTGCATCAGGGCCCAAGACCCACAAGGACAGCTTCCCGGGAGAAGGCAGTGAGGGCCAGCGTTCAGCTCCCAGTGGGCTCAGAGAGGCAGGGGTGATGCTGAACTGAGGGGCTATAAACAAAGTTTCCTTGGGGGCTCTTGCTCCAGGTCAATAGCTGCACACAGAGTTTTGGTTTTCTTCAAAATAAAACCCTGAATGGAGTTCAGGTTGGAACAACGTTTAAGTCCAGAGTTAAAGAGTGGAGACTGAGGGGAAGGCCTGGCTGTGGGGCTAGGAGGTTCAGGATGGGCCCCATCCCAGCCTGTGTCTGTGTTAGTTTCCCTCCTGTGAGAAGTGAGGACGGTGCCCACAGCCCTGACAGCTCGAGGGAGAGCCAGGGAGTGTTCCTCCTCTCAGAACGCCGTCCCGCCACAGCCCAGCACCCCACCCAGGGGAGGCTTTGAGACCTGGCAGGCAGGATCCTGCCTTACTCTGGGCCCCAAGCTAATCAGAGGTAACGAACACGCTGGTCCACAGTTGTCCAAGAAGGTAGGTGGTAGCTCAGGTCAGCCCGGGCCTGGGCATCAAGTCCCCCTTTGCTTCTTCCTGTGGGCACTTCATCTCTCATGGACGTCAGTTTCCTCGTCCATGAAACAGAGGCAATAACACCCCAAGTGCGGGAAAAGGCACATATGATATGGCTGACACACCATGGCTCCACACCTCCCGAGGCCCCCTGAGGCCCCCCTGCTGGGAGAAGGCAGCCCCCACACCTGCCACCCCCTCTACTCTTGCGCCTACCTTCCTAGAGCCATCACAGCCCCTCCTCCTGCTCAGGCCCCAGCAGCCCTGCAGCTGCTGGGATGGATCTCTGGGCTGGGGTTCCAGGCTCTGGAAAGGGCTCTCGCTCTCCCTCCTCTTCATCTTGTTCCCTGCCGTGCTTTCCCAAGGCTGTGACTCCCAATCCACCCCCTGTGCAAAGGCCCTCCTCCCACCCTCCCAGCTGGCAGAACGCAGGCTCGGGGCAACCAGCCCACAGAGAAGGCCCCAGAAGTGCCCTTACCTTGTCAGGGTAGGGGTCTTGTTGCTTGCCTTCGCTTCCACCCAGGCCCTCTGAAAGAAGCTGGGCAGAAGGCAGTGCCAGGGCTCTGGGTGTGTCGGAGCACACGAAAGGGAGGAAGAGGAGGAAGAGCCCCAAGAGGAAATGGCTGAGTCCTCTGGGCCCACGTAATTTATGACAGGACTTTGCCCTTGAGCTCCAGGCACACCCACTCCCACAGGGCTCCTGCGGCCCCAGCTAGCAGAGCCTCAGAGCAGTCCAATCTTTAACCCTGGCCTCTTCGTCAGTCTCTGTGGGCCATGAGAACTTGATTCTGTGCACCTGTTGCTACAGCCAGACAAATCACCTGGTGCCCATCCATCCAGGGAGCTGAGCATCTTTCCAGGCATCACAGGAACTCCAAGGCTGCCTATGCAGGTCTACTCCCAACCCCCCTGTCCTAGTTGAGAGCACACACAGGAGAGGCCAGAGAGCTTTGCACCAGAGCTAAAGGCCACTGGGGCACCTAGATTCCCAGTACAGTCCCTGGGAGCAGAGGGGGCTGACTTGTGCTGGGACTTGAATAAAGGGGGATTTTTGTGATAAGGCAAATACAGATCCTTTGGAAGGAAAAAGCATGCAGTAGTGCACCCTGGGAGAGGCCAGGTTGGAGGGGACAGGCAGTCCCTGGAAGTGACAGTGAGGTCTTTGAAGGTGGGTGGGAAATGAGTCCATGGGAGATGCCTGCTGACTGCAACACTCCCTGGGTGAGAAAAGGCCTCGGGGGTACTCATCACTGACCCAGCAGGAGCCCATTGGGTTCCTTCCCTTTCCCAGGACTTGGCAGGCAGAGGTGTGGGAACTAGCTGTCATATTTATTTGTTTATTTGGCTGCATTCAATCTTAGTTGTAGGGTGTGGGATCCTTAGTTACAGCATGTGGGATCTAGTTCCCTGACCAGGGATGGAATCTGGGCGCCCTGCATTGGGAGCACAGAGTCTTAGCCACTGGACCACCAAGGAAGTCCCTATCATCTTCTAAATAGGACTGAGGCCAACCCTGACCTTGAGCCTCTGAGAGATGGGAACCAAATGCTGGTGGAAGCGATAAGATAAAGTTGAAGAGCCATGGGGTAGAGATCATGTAGCCCTGGAGAGAGGCAGTGGCCCCTGCTATCTGAGCTTTCTGTGGGTCCTGCTGTGGGCTCCATAGAAGCCCAGCTTCCTACTGCTATACACTCCATTGTTGAGACAGCTTGAAGGAGTTTCTGTTCCTTACAACCAACCAGCCCAGGACAAAGGTTCAGTCTCTCATTCGTGTCTGACTCTTTGAGCCCCATGGACTGTGGCATGACAGGCTTCCGTGTTCTTCACCATCTTCCAGAGCTTGCTCAAACTCATGTCCATTGAGTTGGAGATGCCAAAGGTAGGAAAGTGAATTGGGAGGTGACTTAGGAAGGGCCATTTGGAGGAAGCACAGGCTCTGAGGCATCCAGTCAACTTCCCACCCACTCCCTAAAAGTGCTGTGCTCAAGTTCTGTCCGGCTCCAGATAGCTTCTTGGCCCCTAAAACCTCATCCAGTTTCTGGGTCAACACTTGCTTTGGGAGGGTTTCTCATGGCAGGTGGCTTTTCTGGTATAGAAAGGAAACATTTCACTCCCACAGGATGGGTGCTGCTAATCCTGGCAGCTCCTGGAAATAATGAGCCTGCTACTTTGGGGCTCCTGACACCAGACTGGGTCCTTTGTGGCCTTCATTCCACTGTCTTCTTCCAAAAAAATAGTGGAACAGAATATTTGTGTAGAACAATATGATTCATAAGACTTTTTTATTCCAGAGCCTATCTTAAAATTTGATAGAAACACATTTTGGATACTTACAGACTTGTCTTCTGCTTTAAAAAAAAAGTTTGACATTAAATCATAACTATTTTCTTACACTATAGCAAATATTAACCATGAGTCTTCAAGTCAGCATGGTCAAAGACAAATATCATATGACACTGCTTATATGTAGAATCTAAAAAAATGGTACAAATGAACTTATTTACAAAACAGAAATAGAGTCACAGATGTAGAAAACAAATGTACAGTTATTAAGGGACAAATGAAAGTCAAAGTGTTGGTCGCTCAGTGGTCGCTCTTTGTGACCCCATGGACTGTGGCCCGCCAGGCTCTTCTGTCTATGGGATTCTCCAGGCAAGGATACTGGGGTGGGTTGTCATTCCCTTCTCCAGAAGATCTTCCCAACCCAGGGATCAAACCCAGGTCTCCTGCATTGCAGGCAGATTCTTTTCCAGCTGAGCCACCAGGCAAAGAGAGGGGGCATTAAGTTGGGAGACTGGAATTGACATACTCCATGGGTGCTAAGTTGCTTCAGTCATGTTTAACTATTTTTGACCCTATGGACTGTAGCATGCCAGGCTCCTCTGTCCATGGGATTTCCCAGGCAAAAATACCGGAGTGGGTGGCCATTTTTTTTCTCCAGGGGAACTTCCCCACCCAGGGATCAAACTCACATCTCCTGCACTGG